TCAACTGCACCCCGCTAGATGGCACGACCTGTCCAATGTAACTACGCGAAATGTGAATGTTTGAACCACTCGTGCCATTCCCTCTATAGTGGACTCCTCTTAAACGAAACTTGAAGGTGCAAGAAAATTTGTTCCATTTATGAGAAGTTTCATTTAAGCAAGACCCACAAAATGAATGAAATATGACTTTATTTCAAAAGAACCAACTGTGGCTGACTGAACAAAAACATTTTAAAGTATACAATACTTATATAGTTGATTATAAAGAAAAATGGTGCTAATATTGCTTACAGATATCTCTGTTTACAGCCGCACTTTTTCGAGAAACTATCTTTAAGACAAGACCATGCGCTTTTTAAAACCGCCCAGACAGTCATCGTTCACCCGCAAGTGCTCGATCCTCATGCAAGCAGCAATCTCTTTGGCCTTGTCTTCAAAAATGGGGCACACTTGAATCAGAGAAAAAGAGCATCTTAAATTTTTTTATGCGCCGCCGTTCTCATCCGCATTCTGTCCGTGGCGAAGTTCCCAAGCTTTGCAGCTTCTTCAATTTTCTCTTTGTTTTTGAGTATCCTCAAGAGTGTGGACTTGGGAATATTGAACTTCTTCACAATTTCTGTCTTCGATAGGTCGTTGTGGTCAAGTTCTTGAATGATTTTTACTTTCGTTGCAAGCAAAAGTGCATTGTGCTACCAATTTTTTTTGTTTCCATCTCAAGTTCACGAGGAGATGGAAACAAAAAGGATGGAAACGAGATGGATCATTCGGTGCTCGGCGTGCATAGACATGTGCAATCGCTGGATTGGCTTGGCTAAGCTTGCTTTGGCATTTGTTTCATGGTTGCTAGACTACCGTGGCCACTTCTACCGTTCATGCATTTAGCCCGTTTTAGGTTCATTTAACCGATGTAAGCAAAAGAAAATGTTCTGATTACCCGAAACTTTTTATCTTTAAATATACAGGAGACTAACCAAATGTGCTTAGATAGTTTTGTTTATGCAGATTTTTCGTTTAAGCAAGTTTCGTTTAATCGGAGTCCACTGTAGTAAGGTCCGGCGGTTCTTTTTTTCATGAATCAAACAGAAATGAACAAGCAGCATTTTATTGCGTTTTTTGGTGCACGGAAGGTTCTTAATCAGTGCAGTCAGATCAATTACTAGTGTTTAATTGTAAGCAGTTTGTCTGATGTCATTGGGATCACTTTGAGAATGTCCTACTGCGGCGCTTGTGTTATAGTGCATTTACCTCAATTCCTAGGTAAGTAGGGCACTGTTATTGATAATATTGTTGTTTTAGATGTTGTCATACATTGAGCTTTCAGTCTGATGTAAATTTTTGTTTAACGTCGCTTTTTTTTTTTACCACGCTATTTAGTCAGCTCTTACATTGCACTTTGTTAACAATCGGGTAGAAAAGTGGTCTTCAAGCACTTAAAACAGCGTGTGAAGGACTCAAGCTAAGTAGTATGTCGATATGCAACACGGCAGGTGTGTCGCCTGCAAAAATAGAGGGCGACTTCGCCGCATAGCTGTGGTTGCTAGCCAGGCAAGATGACGGACCTGCGTACTACTCTGGTCCCGTAGGGACCATATACAGTTAGCCTACGTGCCCCTAGCAACCGGAGCCCCACCTTCTCGACTTGAATATGACTTGCCACCGCCTCAACGCAGTGCATTCGAAAGGCGTTTGTAGCGTTTGTGCTGTCATAGTTTTTCTAGGGTTTGTGTTGATAAGACGCTGACATTATGGCTGTCAGGTACAATGACAGGTGCAGTGCTTCGCCGCTCCTTCTCTCGCCGTTCGCTCTCTCTCCTGCATGCGCCCCACTTTCTCGTCCGCTCGCACCTCACTCTCGACTGTTCGCTGGCTGGGCACCTCTCAGAAACATCCAAAAATGTGGGCTCAAGATGCCGCTGTGAAACGCCAACGCTGAGCCGAAAACGCTGTTTGTTTTGTTCACTTCATAGTATTTTTTAACCATGCGCACTAGCTGCTAGAGCTGGAAACGCATATTGCATGCTGCGACAGAAAATTGCCACATGTGGTAAACGGCACTGTTGGCTGTAGGATGTAACAAAAAAAAAAACATTATTCTTCTATGCCACATTCTCACGTTCAAAACGCCGTTATGGACGGTACGCAATGCATTCGCATTTTCTCACAATATCCTTCGGGGAGGTGGAAGCATTTTTTTGTTTCTGTCGAACAGTTCGAGATTGTCAATAAATTGTATTCTATCCGTAGAGAATTCAAATGCTGTATTATTCATTGGAATATTCGAAGCATTCGAATATTCGCACAAGCCTAGTTTTACAGCGATAAACAACTGATTTTTCTCAACTCATTTTTTTTTTTTTTGGCGTGACAAGGAGCTCACCCTTCGTAGTGTTTGTAGCTGTAGTAGTTAGTTGCAAAAGCTTATAGTTATTTTGCAAGCAGTATTTTTCAATCTGCAAGGCTCTAGACACAGATGTACCCTGCCACCAAATTGATAGCAATATCGCAAGCCCTTCTCATAATTTGTGGAAGCTATCGTTGTTCTGCTGTTGCAGGAGTTCCTGTAACTGATTAAGCACCTTTATTTTGAGTTTTTCAACTATTTTAGGCAATAACAAGCTGTTAAAAGAGATGGTGTGGCATTATACACCTTCCCTGTATTTGTACCGCATTGGGAGCACCTGTTTCCAAGGCTGCCTTTGCCGCCTGTGTCATGGGTGGTTTGTCCTGGCATCGTTTCTGTCTTTATACGTGAGCCAAGCAAAGTCACCAAAAACATCACTGCGCATATGCATGGCCATGCCAAGTAGCAGCACACATCATTTCTGAGACAAAATGTCGGAAGTAAAACCACGTCACTCCAAAATCTTAGTGACCTGAAAACTGCCTGCACGGTTTCATGAGCATGCATGCTCATGAAGTTGTGTTGCATGAAGCAGAAAAGTTGCTCAAGACGCGCCAGCGAGCATGGGATCATTACCTCACGCGAAGACAGCATCACATAATGCATACTAAGTCAGGCCTATATGTACATATTTATACAGTAATATCTTTTAATATAAAGAAACCAACAGTATTTCAATACCACCCAAAAAAATTGGCCCCGTATCGGCATGTTGTCTTCAAATGTCGTCGAAAGACAATAGTCTTGCCTGTGGAGAGAGTGAACAATTAATTTGATGTTCTGCGCAAGAAAATCGATGAATGGTATTTTGGAGGCGCTGCGTTAGAGTGCCTCGAGCAGGCAGTGAAGGCAAACAAGCTCATCAAGTCACGTCACACGTGAGACATGAGCGCCATCTGGCAGTCTTCTTCGAAAACAAAGCACGTGGCTTTGAGACGGGTGTGCGCGCCCGTCTCAGAGGTGATAAGGTGAGGAACGCAAGGCGACGGGTAGGTGCCACTACCATAGCGTCTTAGCAAAACGTTGGAAACACTCACCATTTTGTGCAAGCGTTGCATGGTCAGCGCAGCGTGATAAGCGCTACGGTCCTTAAAATTACTTATGTATGCATTTTCTAGTAAAAGATGCACATGCAGAATATATACGTGTTAATTGTTATGGTGCAGCAGACTTGCACAATAATTGCTTATTAATTTACAATTGCACAAGTATGAATGCTAAATCTTGAGCAACATTGATGGGCCCTGCGGATGGGGTCGGCCGTTTCAAGTACCCTATGCGGTTAAGAGTGGACAAACAGACAAATGTACAGACAGAAAGACCAAAATTTTGGCGTCGAAAGTCCCCAAGAAAGACTATTGTCTATAAAAATCGTCGACTGTGTTGGGTGGGTCTCGCTGTAGAGAGTGCCACGCTTTAGGAGTGAACGAACGCAGTAGACGTGGTCAGAACGATAAAACAACACACATTTATTTAACTACTTTAAAACGACGATATTTTAAGTCGAATTACTATACATCGATTGTGATCAACACGCTGAGTGAAATACTAACACTACAATGAACAGTCCTCACGTATGCTAATTGATCGTCATTTAGGAGGTCTGCGCACTCGCCGCAAACACAAAAAACTTGCTGCATGCGCCGTGTCCAAAATCCCTACAGAATCTTTTATGTCTAGAAACCTCCGGAACCTTCTGCATTCCGAAGTCCGGGCAGCCAGACAGCACATACGAAGAGGCCTTGAAAATGGCACGGCGATAGTATTGCCCCCTTGCGGATCAAGGCTCGGTGCAAACCCTCTTATACTGCAAAAATCTCAATCGCTTTTGTAAAGTTTAATTGTGTCGGGACCTTGAGAAGTTATTAAAATTAGATTTTTTATTATAAATGGGATATTAATTTATTTATTGCAGTTATAATAAAATTGAGAATTTTTTAAATTTTAGAGTAAAATAATTCGAACTTTGCATGCCACTTTGAGTTCTTGAAAAGCTTGCAACAGGTCCTGGAAAATCCTTGAATATCCTTGAATTTTCATTTTGGAAACCCGTAGGGAGCCTGGTATGGGCAAAACAGAAAACTTCTAAAACACAAACACATGCCCGCGAAAAACATTTTAATGTACAAACAAAAACAAACATGAAGAAACAGTTGTAGAATCAAGAGCTACACTAGTAGTTGTCACATACGTTTGCGCGCTTGAGACGAGAGCCACACATTGTTCATGCACAGCTTTTTTCTGAAATATACAGTATGTACTCAAAATGTCCTACAGTGGACATTTTTCGAACAGTGAGTTATCCTCGAAAAGTACTGAAAAGTATGCTTTTTGTATTATCCTGTGAATACTTTCCTGAGGGCGCACTGAAAACGTTGCCTGTACGTATGATGATAGAATGATGACGTTAGCACCATTTGAGAACTGTCTCGGGTCGTCGGTGTTGTCTCGGGTGTCATTTTGTAAAGGTAGCGCATTAGAGTAAATACGGCATAAAAATGTTTGGACGGCATAAAACTGAAAACAAATGGTCATCAGTCTTATTTCTTGAGAACGGAAAGGAGCTCTTTTCTCAAGTTGGTTTTACGCCTTGCTGCAGGATCTGACTACCTCCGAAGAAGAGGGTGAAGTGGACGATGAATACACTGCACAACAAGGGTAAGGCACCACCATGTTTTCAAAATCTGCACTAATGATGGGCTTAATTCAAAGTGAATACTCATAGTGTAATATAACTTTGGAGCTGATACTTTGAGTAACTGTGAAAAACAGCATAAAATATTTACATAAAAGACAGGTAATGAAGAAAACTAAGAAGGGTGGAATATCAAGAATGAAAGAAGTTCGACATTAAGGAGTTGGTCAAGAGTTATTTGCAACACCAGTAGTGTGCAAAATTTGCTTGCAGATTTTGGCTCATAGTTGTGGTTAAGTGCATAGTTGTTATTGCGAGAGCAATTATATGTACAATCTCGGCTGGTTTTTGCCATCGCCGCCGTCGTCATTAACGTATATGTATATGTATGTATATATATATATATATATACGGGGAAGGATGCGCTAGCCTCCTCTTTTTGAGGAGTAAACATCGCCTTGCCATTTGAGGAGTGAACATCGCCTTTCCAGCTGGGGTCGTCTGTACGCGCTTATCTCGTGAGCGAACAAGGGGGGGGGGGGGGGGTGTATGGTTGTCGCGCTATGGCGGCAACGATCAGCGCACGCCTTGTATTCACACAGCAGGCGGGAGCTTCTATGGGCTGCACTCTCAACATGAAAAAACGGTGCCGAAAGTTTACCTGGAGCAGCCATGTTTTCTTGAAGTGCGTTTACACTAGATAGACACAACACTCATTTCGGTGTGCCGACTGTCCTTGAAAGTGGTTTTGTCTTGTCGTCATCATATTTACGCTACAACGACACAGTCTGGCAATGTTCTCTGTAAGACTCCTTCTGTGCCTTATCGTGCTCGCAGCCTTTCGTTGGCCAATTCTGCAGTCCTGTAGTCGCACTGGAGGCACATGCAGGGACACTCGGCTCTGACTAAATTTGCACACTTGCACCCCATTTTCAGCCATGCTCCCTTTTCTGCCATTGTCCCTCTCCAGCTATGTGGCGTAGAAGTGGTGGGGAGGCACAAAAGAGAAGTGAAGACTTTCATGGGGAGCCCAAGATGCCTATTCAGACGCCGTGGATGCCTTGGAGGGGGCATTTTCTCCTTTGATTCTTTCCTTCGAGGTCGTTTGAAGCTAAGACATGGGCAAATTTTTATGGACAGGTCTGCCAATGCGTTTTGCTGGTGTTTTCAGTCAGTCATTATGTTACACTACGACGACATGCTGTCTTTTGAGGCATCGTCGTCAGCCTAGTGTTACCATGGGGTCTAGCGACATTGGCGGCGGGTGACTCGTCGCCCAATGGTCTGCGTCTGCCTCGTGTGTTCGTCGTGTCAGTGTCATGTCGCTCTAGTGTAAATGCACCTTTACACCAGCGTTTTGTAGAGTTACGTGAAATCGGATCCTAGTCTTACGTGAGCCTTACTTCGTGCGTGAGATCGGATGCTAGCTATTGCCCTTTTGGCGAAACTAACTTTTTATGCTAGTTGCAGCCTATGGGCTGTTCACAAGTTGTTGTGATGAAAGATGTTTAGGCTGTTCCGGGCAATTTAGTGTAGAACTCTTCACCTTTAGGGACACAACTTTGTGGTCACATTGTCAGCCTGCAAACTTGAATGTCATTTATGTGGTGCCTCGTCATGCATCTCACACTTTACATGAGACTTGCAGTCAGTCACTGTGACGGCTAGTGGCAGGTTTTTGTGACAGCCACATGCATTGCCTTGGCACTTAGGCCTGCTTCAATTACCAAGTTGGCTATGTGTTGTCAGCCAAAGATTTTCCTTGATTTTAAATTATTGCATGCCTATTGGCACTACCTGTACAGTTATTAGAAAATTAAAGAACTACCTTGCCAATGAAAGCAGGAGTTTATCTTGGTTGATACAGCACACACGAGACTAGAATGAAAAAAAAAAAAAAAAAACACTGACACAGACAGGCGCTGACTCGCAACTAAATTTTATTAGGGAAAAACAAGCATATGTAAAGGTGATGTGCAACTTGAAAAAAATAAAAAATGCCAAAAAATTTCAAGCAGTGAAACATTCAAACACGTTTCAAGCAAGGGGAAAAAAACAGATAAAGGTATACATAGGCATAATGCTCTGCAGGTGCTGCAAAGATATGTAAATTCTGTGTTGCTCAGTGACCACATGAACGTATACCATCTCGCTGAAGCCTCAATTCTTAAAGTAAGAGTGTTTGGGATAAACAGAATGTTCCCAACTTTTTTTCGTATCTGCAGTTGCTTTGACATCATAAGTTTCCTGCTATTTTTGTCATGAAGATGTGGCCATTTTTGTCGTCGTATTGATGACTCAATATACGCGTTCAAATGTGCCCATGAATGATCGGGTTCTTGAATAGCCTTGGGAAAGCTGGTAATGTGGTTTGTGTTTTGCTAGTTTTGAGGTGGTTCCTGTGCTGTGTGTGTTAACACGTACAATTTTTGATGGGGGAGTCTGTTGACTTGTTCTTGCCAAAATTTGAACATACGGACCATCTTTGCACTCTCTGTATGTCTGTTATCATGTAGGTATCACATATGATATAAGCGTATTGAAGATTTGGAAGATAAAAAGCTTTGTACACTGACAGTGTTACGTCAGCAGAGGCGTGTCTAAATTTGGGCCTCAAGAAGTGAAACTTATATCAGTAGATTATCAGTAGATTAAGTAATGTTGTTGTTGTGCTGAGGTTGCAGAGGTCACAAAAGTGTCTACCGCTACTGCCTCCCCTCTAGGGAATCACCATAGAAGACGTCTTCTCGGCCTTCTTCACCATCTGGATTGCTCGTTTCGGTGCCTCCCCTCTATGTAACTGCAGACCAAGGATGACAGTTCGAGTCGCACCTATTCAGGCTTCTCGAACTGCCCATTGCTTTTGAATGCTTCAGAATCACCAGTTACCACCCCAGCACCAACAGAATGATTGAGCGTTTCCACTGAAATTTCAAGGCAGCTATTACGTTCCACCCGAGCTCAACCTGGCTCGAGGCCATCCCAGCTGCCATCCTCGGTCTTCGCGCCACCTTCAAGCCGGGCGTCCATGCTACACAAGCAGAGCTCATCTACAGGGAGCCACTCAGTCTCCCAGGTGAATTTCTCTCGGCTCTGCCATCCAGCAATACGACATCAGACCCTACTGACTTAGTCGGCCTGTTCCAATGCACTATCGCTGCCTTACTCCCATCACCTGCAGCCAACCACAGCAAGCTGACATCTTTTGTGTTCAAGGAGCTAGAATTGGGCACACACACTTTACTATGTGGTGACACAGTCCATCCGCCTTTCCAGCCGCCCTACAGTGGTCCCTACCTAGTCGTCCATCGTGATTACAAGAACTTCACTTTGCGCCTGAACGGGATTGTCGATTGACCAACTCAAGCCCACATACATCGCTGCAAACGAACTGGGCAGCACAACTCCTTTCACTGACGTCCTTCCACAGCCACCGACGTCACAGCCTGCTCCTTCACGACATGCTCTGGACGTTTGGTGCACCTCCCAGATTTTTACAGACCCTGAGGGCTCTGCACTTTCTGGAAAAGGGGGTTGTGATGTGGGGGCCACTGTCCACAAACTTGTGCAGCCTCTGTCACATCACTGGAAAGCCCGGCGTGACATGGTCTCTTGCTGCAACATGCTTCCTATAAAGGACTGTGCCACTGCAGTTTTGCCAGAAGCTTACACCACTGCTGGTGGCTATGAAACCTAAGCTTACGTTGCCCCACTGCTACTACCACAATCATTAACAGTCGTGTTCTATGTTGGTATTCGTCTTTCTATTATTGGCATGGCATCCCACAATGTAATATTCTTGGGTTTGTGGGGACGAGCATTTGTGTATAGCCCTGTAACACAGATGCAGACAGGAGTTCGAACGAAAAAGGACGATGAGGACGGTTGTTGTTGATGCTTGCTTCGTTTTAGCGGCTAATTGCTATACCTCTGCTAGTTCTCAATCTATGTGGCTCAGCTTTAAATGCATGGCTTCAAATGGTACGGAGTGGTGGTTCTCTTGTTCATCTTGGAATTTTGTAACTGAACTCTATGTTCACTATCAATAATGCCCGACAATGTTCAACAGCAGAATTCTACCACATCCCCTGCTGTCCACTGTCTCTGTGTTCCATGACAGCGAGACCCTGTTATCTTTAGCGTTACTGATGAATAGGATGTGGAAAGTGTAAGAACGAGTCAGCAACGAGTGGGACGATAATGACAAACTTGTTCGTGTCCACTTCTATCTAAGAGGAATCACAGAAGTCTTGTTTAACAGCTACAACATTGAAACCTTCATGGATGTATTTGGGTGACAGCTCTGCACAGAACAGCGCTTGCATGATCCTAAGACTTCTCGAATTCGAATTTTTCTTGTCCATTAAAATGTCTTGTACACACTTTCATTATAGTTATCTGCATTTTACAGTTAATATGGAGCAGTGTGAGCGATTAATGGTTCAGAGCAATAAAAGTTTAGCAGCATAAAAGTTTGTTCGAAAGGAACTATACACAATACATTGTCATGGCACAAAACGACAACTGCACAACTTACTATAGAACTACAGTGGAATCTCGTTAAAGCGTACCCGTATAAGCTGTTGTTTCTTTTTAACCATTGTTAATACGAATTCCCAACTCGTTTTTTTCTTTAAGTTAAGGGGAGACACCGGTCTGAATTTTTTTTTTTATTTTCAGTATTTCCAGCTGAAATTTTATTACAATATATATTTTTCACAGTTGAAAACAAATATGCGATTAGTTTTTTGCTATTTTTTAGATTCTTAAATATTGACCGTTACATAAACTTGCATTCTGCCCAGCCTTTTGACATCTTCCTCATAAAATATTGCTACAAATTTGATATGACAGCATTCCATGAAGGCCAGGGAGTGGAACAAAACCATAATTTCATTTTTAGCTTCATTTTTATCAGAGTTATGGCCTTAACAAGTATACTCATTAGAAATCTGAAACTGTTGCTTAAGTTTGTTGCTAATTAAATCACTATTGTAAATAAAAATATCACATTTTTTTTTGT